TGTAGCGCACCCTTGGGGTCCCTTGAAATCTAGAAGAATCATCTACATATCATTTTCATCCTCCACATAACAGAGCTGAAGGCATTGCCAGCAAAATCATCATGATGTATGCATCAATAAGCACAAGAAAATGGCGGATTCCTATTAAGCCTTTTTTTTTTCACTATTTCTTATTCTTTTTTATACTTTAAAGAAAAGTTTGAAGTAATTTCTCTCTCTGATTCTTCTTTCCTACGCCTTCAAGTTAAACTTTGGGATGCAATTATTATTGTTGCTGTTGCTATCATTTCTTTTGTCCGTATAAAATTTTTATCCAGAAGGTTAATCAATTTAAATTAATCGTGCCACAAAAAAGAGACATAAAGAGAGCCAAAAACACTGTAATAAGCAAACATCTGGCCCACTGGCCAAACAGAAGTGTGGCTGCCAAGGGGATACAGGGTTAGAATATGAACTTCTGCAAAATCCTATGAACGAGGATGATGAATGATTATGACCAGCATAGTCTCATAGAGCACAGAGAAGCAGTGGAGAGTAAAACCAGTTTAAAAAAGATTGGCAAGATAGCCGACTAAGTAAAGTCACCCCAAGGGCATTCAAGAAAGAAAGTGAAAAGACCACAAACAGAAGAAGGATGCAAAAGACATAAACGTTATTTTAACCAGCCGATTTCTCCGTCAAGGAAAATGGTACCACCACATTCGGTCCCACAGTCCTGAGGTAGAGAAGGGGAGGTGGAAATGAACAAAAATGGGTACATCCATGGTAGGGGAGACACAATTGTGAGGGTATTGAGGGGACAATATACAACGTATCTGAAAGATGGAAAGATACTGGAGGTATGGATAATTTTATTTCACACTTTACTAAAACTAAAAAAAAAAGCAACCGAAGAAATATTAAGACCTGTCATCCTATATGCCTACTCTGCTACCTAGACAAAATCTTTGTGATAGATATCTGTACAAGAAGTGAGGGCATCCTCAATGAGGATATTAGCAGGAAACACCTAGGCTTTCACAAGTGGTCTTCAGCAGTAGACCACATCCTTTGTATTTCACAATTAACTGAAAGATTACCATAATATTAGATCCCATTGGGCTTATTGTTTGTACTGATTTAACTAGGGAAAAAAAACCACCTCTATGAAGGCACCTTTACAAGGTATCTCCAATCCGTGTATCAAGATCATTCAGGATTCCTGGGAAAACCAGAACGTAACACTATTTAGTGACATCCTGATAATAATGTCAGGCAAGTCCTAAAACAGGGAGATGCATGCTCATCAAAAGGTTTTGCCACTATCATGGAGACTTGGTGCAAAGTCCAAGTCACAGAGCGGTTTCCAGTGTAGAATGAGACCCTACCAGATGTTCCTGTTGGTGGTTGACATTGGGTTGAATTTCTAAAACCTAAGGTATTGCAGAGCCTTCTGGAAGAAATGTATGCTCCTCCAAAGAGTTCAGCTGGTCCATCCAAACAGGAAAAGCCAAGTTTATCAAGACTGTCTATTGCCCAGATTAAACAAGCATGGGAAGGACACGCTAAAGGACTTGTCTCACAGAAGATATATCAGGAACAAATGGGACAGATGACCCTGAGTTGAAAAGGAAGAGGAGAGTGACTAGATTGCTTCTGGGGAAATGTAAAGTTCCTTTACCAATCCTAGGCATCCCATGAAAGCTCATCCTTTCAGTGTTAACAGTATAAGGGGAATAGTATAATATAAGTTCCTATGTTTTAGGTACTTATTATTTAAATGGACTAATAGATTAAACAAAGGGAGATACATTGCAAAACGCATTGGATTTGGATGTGTAGACTCATGCAGAATTCATCCAGTGTATGTGGTAATTGAACAGAAATCTTCTCTCCAACATCTGTGATGAATGACCATCCAGCTATTGTAAGCTCCTTGAGAGCAGAGACTATCTTATACGCTCATTTGTATTCCCAGTGCAAAATATTAACAAAAAGGCTGCAGAAACATATGAAAAATTATGATGAGATTGAAGTTATATCAGGAATGCAGGGTTGGTACAACATTAGAAAAACTGAAAACATAATAGGCCATAATAAGAAGAATAACAAAAATCATGATTATCTCAGTAAGTGCAGAAAAAAACTAAAAAGTATAGGAATAAATGAATCTTTCCTTAATATGATAAATAGTATCTATCTAAAACCATGAGCCAATATTATATGTAATAGAAATAACCTAGAGGTCTTTCCAGTAAAAGCTAGGATAAAGCAAAGTTGTCCAGTATTACCACTTTTTGATGCAGATGCTAGTTATAGCAATAAGAAAAGAAAGCGAAATTAAAGGAATAAACATAGGCAAAGAGGAAACAAAATATATCCTTTTTTTTTGCAGATGATATGACAGTTTATTTACAGAACCCTGTATAGCCAACTAAAATTAATTGAATCAATTGTTAATTTCAGCAAAGTTAATCCATATGTATTGTCAAGATGTCTGCATATTACCAGCAAAATCCAGTGGGAAGAATTAGAGAAATCCCATTTATAATTCACATATACACACACACACACACAGACACACACACACACAGATGTATACAGCTGTGTGTGTGTATATACACATATGTGTTGTTGAGTCATTTCAGTCATACTTTATTCTCTGTGAGCCCATTTAGGGTTTTCTTGGCAGAGATACTGGAATGGTTTGCCATTTCCTTGTCTAGCCCATTTTATAGATGAGGAAACTGAGGTAAACAGAGGTTAAGTGATTTGCCCAGGGTCACACAGCTAGTAAGTGTCTGACGCTGGATTTGAACTCTTGTCTTGTTGACTCCAGGCCCAGCACTCCATCCACTGTGACGCCTTGCTGCCCTTGGAATTGATAGCCTCTGAGAGGTCTACCAACTCTAAATATTTGATTCATTGATTCTGTGACTTTGGGAAGTCAGTGAAACTCTCTGGGCTTCTATTTCACCTGTAAGGTCCCTTCCCTTCTAGATCTCTGGTCTTGAAATTATAGGTTTCTGTGAACTTTCACCAGGCTCAGTTCATCTATAAAATGGTGACAAGTATATCTGCCCTGCCAACTTCAAAGTGCTGTGAGAATCAAAGTGTATGAAAATGCTTTAAAGTTTGTAATGCTCTGGTTAGACCAATGCACTTGCCCTTCAACCAAGGGGAGAATTTCAAAAGCTCTATACCAGCTGTGAAAGGGGTTGAGGGAGTGTTCCTTTCCCTTTCCCACACAGCAAGATTTCCACTAACCTTCCTTCTGCATGGGAAGTAATTTGTACCTAGAGATCGGGAGCAGGCCAGGTGCCTTGGAAGCACCAGGACTGGTTGCCAGGTGCTTTTTTTTTATAGAAATAGCAGGGTTACTAGCTCACCCTCCTGTTGTCAGAACTGCTACATCTCACTACTAAGATAAAAAAAAATGCCAGCAAAACTTTCCTAGGTAGAGAAGGCTTTCCTAGGTTTCATTTCCCTTCTTATCACCCTCAGCCTACTCACCTCATATTTAGTCCTTGGATATGTGGTCCCCAAAATCAGAAGTGTGGGCAAAGTCTGTGTGCTCAGCAGTGTCTGTTATCCAATAGACACTGACGAAGAGGAAGCGTTGTGCTCTAATTAAAAAAAGAATCAATTTCAGATTCAGTTTGATTTTTTCCCGTTCTCGGAGGAAGGGGCAGAGGAAGAAGGTGCAGCTATTGAAGCATGGCTGGGCCAAAAGCTTTTTCAAAAGGAAGGACATGAGAGTAATGATGGCTCTTCATCAGCAGGTTGGCTATAGGGTGATGAATTTTTTATTCACAGCAAATCTCGCAGACCTCCTACCAAAGATGTTAGAGGGGTTGCAGTTGGTATCTACATACATCAGTGGTGTCAAACTCAAATAGAAATGGGGGCCACTAAACTGTATCGAAGAATCCCTGTGGGCTTCATATTGATTTAGAAAGCCCATTGTATAAACATATGTTTGTATCTATTTTTATACTAATACATCAATACATTAAAATCACATAGATTTTTATCTGGAATTGGCTATACTTGAGGAGTCTGTGGGCCATGTATTTGACTCCTCTCTTATTTATTAGACTTTTTGTTTTTTCTCCCTAATATGCTGTAAGATCTATAAGGTCAGAGACCATGTCTAATCCAGACTTCCTATTACCCCCAGTACACAAACCCAAGGCTTTAACATAGGAGTCACTTAATGTATGTGACCCTTAGCAATTTGTTCCATGGTTCTAGGTCTTAGTTTCTTTACTTATAAAATGAGGTATTGAACTAGATTATTTCTAAAATCCATTGTCTGTATGATTAACAACTTGTATCCATCTTTTCAGTATTGAGCTTAATGTGGTTATGGGTGGTGTCGATTGTGTTGATGACTTTTTGGTTAAAAAAAAAAATTAGGAGTCTCGTGAGACCAATAAGAGTATTGGTTTGTAAAGTTTCAGAGCAGTCTTCTGTTCAATTGTGTTTTAAATAAAAATAGAATGCACATCTATGATGCTAAGGTACTGATTCTGTTAACCTCACATTCATTCTAAATTCTCTCCTTCAGTTCCTTCACTGTCTTCTGTTATGTGATACCTTCAGCTATCTGTTAAGCAATTGATTAAAAGTTCAAATATCTCACCCCCATGCTATGGAGCAAAATATTTCCCAATACTTTATCTCATCCTCAAGAAACACCAAATTTTAAATTCACTCGTACTACCCTGAGACAAGTGAAACATATTGAGTGATTTGTTTTTTTCCCCTGAGTAATAAAGGATTAAAATTATATCTACATATATAATTATAATATATACATAATTATAATGTATATATATTAAAATTAGATATATAGTCTTGTTGGAATAAACATTTTCTAAAAATTTTATCCTTTTTCATGTGTTTTTTTCTTTACCCTGATATATAAAATTATATGAAATACTGACCATCCTGTACCTCCCCCCAAATCCCACTTAATTATTGAACACATTAGCAATTTTTTTTTCTTTTTCTTTCAGCTCTCAGGAGAAGTGATTTTGCAAATTGCCAGTGATCCAGTTCTGCCCTTTAATGCTCTGGATATAGCATTAGAAGTTCAAAACAGCCTTAAAGGTAATTTGTGAGAATTATAGTAATTTGAGCAAATGTAAAAAAATGGTTCACCTAACTTTCCACAATGAATAGTAATATGCTGATGAATGTTGTATAGCAGCCTTCTACCCTTTTCAGCAATGTAAGAAATCTCTCCCTACTTCTAGAAGGTGACCAAGGTGGGGCATATAAAAATTTAGCTGTTGTATTGGTAAGACAGAGGAGCTGTTGAGATTTGAGGAGAAACTTGGAATTTGACAAATGTCTTAACTACCTTTTTCATATCATGCTTCTATCAAAGGGATGTATCATTTTAAAGTTTGTATACTTGTTCTTTGATTTATATATTAATTCATAACCACTCAAGATGACTGTCCTACCCTTCAGTGTCTCTGATTGCCACCATCATGACCACCATGTAGTTATCTTCATAAAACTAGAGATTCATTTATATTTTGCAGGAGAGAGAGTTATCTAAGATGGATAAGTGTTCTATGGCAGCCCCATTATCCTTCTGTAGCTGTGAGACTGTCAGATGAATTATGGATCAAAGAATGAAATTAAATTTAAAAATACAGAATTTGGAGACAGAAGAATTGGGTTTAAATTTCTTCTCTGCCACATACTACCTGTGTGATACTGGACAAGTCATTCACTCTCTCTGTACCTCAGTTTCTTCATCTGAAAAATGAGGGGTTGGATTAGATGACTTTTGAGGCCTCTTCACTCATTCTACCCTGTGTTGATCATCCTGTGAGTACCTACTAATGTGTCCTTAAATAAGTCTTAATTTTATTTCTGAACCTCAGTTTCTTCATCTGTAAAGTGAAGAGGTTACATCTGGCGTTCACCATGGTCCCTTATGGCTCTAGAGCTGTGATCTGTGAGCCTGTGATCCTTCTACTATGCCAGGTGGTTTCTACAGAATTCTACCGTTACAGTTTTGTCATAGGACAAATATTTTCACCTATAGGAATAATGCATATGATTTCCAGCAGCACACATAGTAAGGGAAGGATCATTTTGTGACCTCCCTGTTTTCCAGCAGAGGATATTTTAGAGAGAACATAGTGTTATTCAGCAGTCACGCACTTACTCAAACCCAAATAGCTATTTTATTTTGAATATAGGCAATAATCCCAGATGATTTCATTAGCCAAGCAGTATGCATGCACAGTATTAAATTAAGCATAATATTTAGCTGCTTAATATAAGCATCAATTGTTTATATTTCTTCTGATTTTATTATGACAGCTGAGCAATAATTAGTCTTAAGTTCTTGGCTACGGTCAAAGATAAACAGTCTTTGTGACTGATCCATAAAGTGCTGTTTCTCCCGCACTGCGACCAGGGTAAGGATGAGAGTCTCTGAAACCCAATTGCATTTTCAGCCATGTAATTTTCACCGTTTGACAACTGGCCATTTCATTTATTTATTGCATCGGTTTACATTGGCAGCATATCATTCCAGTTCTCCTGCATCTTCACAACCACGAAGAAGAAGGATAATTTACCACAGAAAAATTTGTTTCGGTTGATTTATTGGTTATTGCTAGAGAGCCGGACTTGATGGAATGACCTTGGTTTGAGTGTTAGCCAGAACTAAACATTATTTAAGGAATGAATATGTATGCGCTCATTTGCTGGTCTGTGTATTTGTATGTACGTGTAAATGGGCATATATTCTGATAAGCAGCATAAGATTAAAATAAGTGACAGACAAGGTCTATCTGTATTTTATAAGCATTGTTTCCTAGTAATTTGGTTGTTCAGTCATTTCAGTAATGTCCATCTCTTTGTGATCCCATTGGGAGTTTTCTTGGCAAAGATACTGGAGTAGTTTGTCATTTCCTTCTCTAGCTCATTGTACAAATGAAGAAACTGAGGCAAACAAGGTTAAGTGCCTTGCCCAGGGTCATACAGCTAGTAAGTGTCTGAGGCTAGATTTGAAGTCAGCTCTTCCTGATTCCAGCAGTGCTCTAACCACTGTGCAACCTACCTGCCTCTTCCTAATAATGGGAAATCCAGTAAGAGAAAGTATGATGTAGTAGAAAGAACCCTGTACTTAGGTTTCGCAGGTCTGGGCACAGTCCCTCATTCTATTCCCTTACTACTCGTGAGACCTTCGACAAATCACTGAAACTTCCTTAGCCTGGGTTTCCTCATCTATAAAATGAGGGGGTTGAACTATCTGATTTCTGACATCCCTTCCAGCCCTATGATCATGTGATCTGTGAGGGTACTTCTAGCTATGCATGCCCGGTGCTCCCTAGTCTATGAATGCTCATAGAACCATTGTTGCGGAGCTGAGAAGGATCGTGGAAGGTCACAATCCAGCTCATTCATTGTACAGGAGAGGATACTGAGGCCTATGCGACTTAACCAAAGTCATGTAGGTAGTTATTGTCAGTGCCAGGATTTGGTCCTCTGATACCTTATATCCAACAGAGAGGATGAGTTTGTAGTAAAAACTTTACATTCTTATAATGATTTATTATTATAAAGTACTTTATATACATTATATTATTGGAACCTGGCAACAAACCCAGGAAATAGAATAGCATAAGGATTATTATTCCCATTTTCCTGATGAGGAAATTGAATCTCAGAGAGACTAAGGCACTTGATAAGGTCACTCAGTTAATAAATCATGGATAGAGGACGATCCACTGGCCATTTTGCTACTGCAAGAGCACAGTGTTTCCTCTTGCTCGGGCAGCTCCATCCCCTCTTTAACATAGAAAATAGCAATTTTATATAATTTATGGTCACATAAATTTGATGCTTTTATTTAATATCAACTATTTGTCATCGTCAGCAGAGAAGTTAGTTAACAACATTCTTCAAACAGTAAGTGCCCAAGAAAAATAAAAGTCGTTTAGCCTCTGATCTGACTATATACACATTTATGTAGCTCAATCCAGACACAGCAGGAAATCATCATTTTGCAATGTGTGTCTTGCTGCCGCCTCCATAGCTCCTCACAAAATGGAAAATGGTTCTTGGCAGCTCTTCCTTGTGTTTTCTGAATAACAGACAATGTTGATTTAATCTGCCTTTTTTCCCCATTAGCTCTGATAATTCATTAGCGTCAATCACTTAATTTTAGAGAAATGAAAATTACTTTGAAGGTGATAATTCCATGCCCTGTTGGGTTTACAGTTTCATATTTTGAAGCTTGTCTCTATTCTCAAGTCATAGCACATTCAGATCTACCCAGTTCTGGTTTTGTTTCCTTTCTCATTTCCATAAACTTCTCTTCCTTTCACCACAAAATGAGATTATACATACCTGGGAATCAGGAGGCCCTGTGCCAAAAACAGTGAGTTGCCACTTAACAAAGTTTGGTTCAATTGAATTGAAATTTTACTTGCTAGGACTATAAGGGGTTGTCAGCCACTACCTCCCCAACCTCCACCATTAAATAACTGTGGCTTTTAATCACCCCTAGCCCACTTTCTCAGATGTTTTGTTGTCGTTCAGTCATTTTAGTTGAGCCCAACCCTTTGTGACCCCATTTGGGGTTTTCATGGCAAAAATACTGGTGTGGTTGCCATTTCCTTTTCCAGCTCATTTTACAGATGAAGAAACTGAGGCATACAGGGTTAAGTGACCTGCCCAGGGTCACACAGCTGGCATCTGAGGCTGTCTTTGAACTCAGGTTTTCCTGACTCCAGGCTCAGTGCCCTATTTACTTCGCCACCCAGTTATCCTTATATGTCTTAGGGTTACGCAGAATCTGGACTGGTCCAATATTGCTGTCTTCTTCAGTTTGTGAATGGAGTTTCTTGAAAGCTAGGCTCTTTGAGGGAAGGATAAATTAGTCCTGTATCATAGAGAAGTCCCAGAATTTCTGATTTACTTCAGATGTTTCTTAGAAAATGAGAGGTGAAATTATGCTCCTCCTCCTACAATATTTTCAATCAGCATTAGGATCCTGAGGGTTTGGGGACTGAATCAAGACTTTTTAGTATTTGGCTATGTGGTCCAGGGAACAAGGTTTGATATCTGGGGACAGGTATTCAATTTTTATGCTCCTATTGACATCCTCTGTCACATTTGCCAAGTCATTTCACCTAATCTGAACTCTGCTTTGCTTATGTACAAAAAAAAAAGTTTTTATTACATAATCGTTGAGATCCTTCTTAGGTCTAAATCTCTGATCCCATGATCCATGATTCCCTGGACTAGAAACTTTACTAGGTTGAGGAATTCACTGAAGAAGACAGACTTTCTCTGTGCCAGATTCTATAGGATACCTTGCCAGGAGTTTGGTGTATGACATTGTCAACAACATTTCTCAATCATTTACTTATACCCAATACTAATTATGTTCTTGGGCAGGAATTCCATCTCTTTATTATATATGACTGCTATGACATATCCATTGTTTCCTTATTCCTCAACTGTTTTTGTTGCTGCTGTGTTAGTGGTAGTAGTTTGTTAAAATAGGAATCCTTTTTATTTCTAGACTTTGATCCTTTTTTTTTTTTTACATTGATATATCTGTTATCTTCAGTGGATATTTCTTCTATGGGCAGAGCTCAACTCCTCCATGATTTCTCTTCATGTATGATTTTCATTTGTATCCTTTTGAAAATCTGCTTCTATTCTGGAGGTCTTTTTTCTGTCACAGAGTTACCAGTGTAGCACTTGGGTTGGCTATGTGCTGCCTGAGTCTCAATAGAAACCCAGAGCACTTCCTGGTCTGGCCACATGTGCCCCTAGCTAATGCCTTTCCATCATTTTCCATGCACAAGTCACTGGTAACAAGCTACCATCTACTTAAACCCAGCATGTGTCACTCCATTGCTCTAATTTTGATTCTACTGTGATCACAGTGTTTCATGACTTGAAGCCATGCAACATTGCCTTCTACAACAAGCCTTCCCCCATCTCTCTGAATTCTTGTACTTTTCTTCTGTTCAATATTTCCTGTTTGTCCCATGAGTACCTTGTTTACATGTTGTCTCCTCCATTAGAATGTAAACTCCTCAAACACAGGGATTATATTTTTACCT